TCTCTGATTATCAAAATGCGTAATACTTTCAGTTAAGAGAACATTAAATCAAATAAGAGAAGATTCTTCTGTTTTTATCTGATTTAGAAGGAAAGTGGCCTGGGGTGGCCTAAATACATTTCTAAGTGGAACAGAGTTTTTGTCCATTCGAAGGCCCATCAGAGGACTGAGAGTCCAAGACAGTTCCTTGATAATTTGACTCGAGGTGACCCCTACATTCTCAACTCGAACTTTGAACATGTGCAGATGCACCTTTTTTTCCAGATCAATTTTCCTCTTCTAATTATAACAGATTTGATAGTCTAGGTTTAAAACATCTTCATAAAGCTTCTCCAATTCAAACCTATTTTAGTTTACTTGTCCAACTTTGGTTCTTTTCACAATAAACAAGAAAGTAGATGTTCAACAATTGTATGGTATGGAGCCCAGAAGGTGCCAAGTTTACAAATAAAAATACTTCAGAGAATTCAGTTAATAAATATAAATCTGCAATACCATTGGCACTATTGTGCAGCAGATGTGTTTTTTTTAATGTGAAGACCGACGGGTAAATCTAAACAAGACGAAAAAAGTCAGCACAACATTTTTTGTTCATTTTATCGTTTCAAATGAATCTTTTTATTGTCTTCAATACACAYAAAAAACAATGTTTGAACCCACTCAATAAACGAGATCACAGCTTGTGTCACATTTTGAGTGCAACAGCAAATAAAGATATATTTTTCTTTTAGCTACATATAAAAAACACCTGCTCAATCAAAAAAAATCACAGTTTATTAAAGTATGAAAACATAAATATGAAAATAAATGTTCTGTAGTCTTGTTTTGATTATAGCAACATCATCTAATAATTTTAAATGGGATTTGAAACATTTACAAATAACCAAAAAACAAAACATTTGGTTTTGGAAGAATTATTATAAAACCTAAAATACAAACCTTTTGTGGCTTTTTATTAAACAAAAATATATTATAGTATATAGTAAAATATTATTTAAACTCATATCACATACTGATCTTTTCATTTATATGACATGTTGATATTTTTCATCTGATTCTATTGAATCCAGATGTGTTTTAAAAGTTTCTAATTCATCTTTTATCCATAGTTTTGACCCATACACTTATTTGCAACTGTCATAATATCATTTTAAACATCTTAAATTGTCTAAACCCTAAATAGTTTGTAAACCATGTTAAAGTGCATCAAGAAATGTCAAACAGGTCTTATAGGTCTACAATGTGTGCAGCAGCACTTGTGACTAGGATGATTAGTGAAAACTTTAACGAAACTTGTCCTGAACTTAAAACGATCGTGTTGTTACACACAAAGCTGCTATCTTGGTTGACACCACTGGAAGTAAATGTCACAAAGTTAACTGTGCTGCCGGCCACCTGACTGTTGATCCAGTCCTGAAACTCTGACACTCGGGCGTAGACTTCAGGGAAACGACCGGTGGCACAAGGTATTCCAAAACTCGTGATGCCAGCCTGGATMCAGGATGAGCCTTGTCTGCATTGCAAAGGTCCCCCGGAGTCTCCCTGAAACAGTCAGACAAAACCCATTTTAACACTGGAATAGGGCGGCTGTGGCAGAGTGGTTAGGGGAGTCGTCCTGGAACMAGAAAGTTGCCGTCCAACTGTCTCAGTTGTTGTGTCCTTGGGTAAGACACTTCACCCCTAATGCCTCTGATGTGTGTCTCATTAGTGTATGAATGTGTTTGGCACTGATTAGTCTCCATAGATGATTGTACATATTAGCTTTGTAGAGACCTAACAGAGTGTTGTGTGRATGGGTAAATGAGGACACAGATTGTACTGTGAAGCACTTTGAGTGTCCTGGATGGATAGAAAAGCGCTATATAAGTACAGTCCATTTACCATTTTAATAGGTGTACAGGAGAACATTGGTTCAAAAGGAGAACATGCAAAAACATATTCTTATCCTAAACTTCTTCTTTGTTCTCGAACATACCATGTCAGATTCAACAAACTCTTCTATCTTCAGGAAAATTGTGTAAATGAGCAGCGTAAACATGATGAACTGCACCTGTTCTTATCCAGCTGCTCGTGCACGCGGAGAGATTAGCATAATTACCACCCCAAAAGCACCATATAAGGATATGTTTCCTGCCTCAGATATCAGGAAGTGTCCATTCATGAAAATGACAGCGAAAGTAAAAAGAAGAACTTTATCAGTTCRGAAAATTAAAGTCCTGCTTTCCGAGATCAAAAAAAATCTGTCCTTTTCAGCAGCGTCAGCTGTGGAATTAAAGGAGCTGCTTAAAGGAATAAAATACGCTGTTATTGTCATGTCTCCTGTGGGTCGTATACAGTCACACAAATAAAAATCTAAATCATATTCATCTCTCTCTAGTCCTACTCCGGTTTTCCTTTGGTCAAATATTTTTAATTCTAGTGTAAACACCTGTGTTACATAGTTTTCATTTATACAGAAGAAGAGCAGTTGCGCACCGCTCAGTGCGGTGTCCGGTGCGTTTTTGAAAAAAAGGCTTTTTAAAATGTTTCCAAACTTCAGTTAACTTCATATTAATATTGTAATATTATATTAATATTGTAGTGTTATACAACAGCATTAATAGCCAGTGTAATTTAATTTCACCATTTAATGTCGTTAGTGTACATTATTACGTTTAAAATTATAATAATCAACATAATTTTGGTGTGTGATTTATTTTCAACTCGAAATGTCTATAAACTAATTAAATATAAAGTTATTAGTGAAGAAAACCCATCTAGATAACAGCAGATTAACTGCGTGTAAAATATACGACAGGTCTGGACCACTCGTGAATTTTGTTTGTATCTGAATAAAATCTTAGAATACGAAAACATTGGTGAATGTCACAAATTCTCCTAAATCATTCGTACGCACAACTTAAGAACAAATCTGTGCGTACGAATGGTTCTTGCATGAGGCCCAGTGTCCCAGTGTGTGTGTGTGTGTGTGTGTGTGTGTGTGTGTGTGTGTGTGTGTTTAACTTGTTTTTTCTGCTCCTTAGTCCAGCT